GTCTACATCGGCCTGATCAATCCCGAATTCAGCTAGCAATGTAAAGACCATGTTAATTGGTGCCGTTGCAACACTTTTCCCTTTTGCCAACCTCTTTGCCTCATCGGCTGCAACATCATCAGCTACAGGAACTTGTTTCTTAACACGCCATTCCTGTCTTGGCTTTGCTTTCTTCAGCCAATGGTTAATTTCCTGTTCAACCTCTTGAAGGCGCTCCCTGTTCCTCAATCTTTGAACCCTTCTTTTCTGATTCTTTGTGAAAATACCAGAAGGACACCATTGATTCGTCCTGACTACGTCATCCTACTGGCCACGACCTTGATTCACTGGGCCCAATCTTTGATGAACAGACACTCTTTTCAGCCGATTACTCCTACTATATGACCGGCTTGAGCTCTCAATGATATCACTACACCTAGGGTAGTTTTCGATAAACGGCAACCTCATCCCTTCATTCCAGCAGAACCTAAAGAACTCACAACCCCAATGAGGATCGAAACCATCATCATGTTCTTCATAATTCTTCTCCTGCTGCTTGTCATACTTCCTCTGATATTTGTTGATTATCTTAGCCGAATTCACGTGAAAACCCTTTTCATGGGCCCTATCGGCTGATTGGCCAGCTGTATGAACCATATTAACAGGAAAAGGATTACCATCGACCTTCATTGGCCTCTTCGAATCATCAAACTTGATTTTTCCTCCCTCAATAGCCGTTTGGATCTGCTGCCTGAAGACCTTGCAGTCATTAGTCGTATGAGACCCAGAATTATGCCACTTACAATACCTCTTCTTACCCAACTCTTCAGCCGATGGAATTGTATGTCCGGCAGGAAGTTGAACCTGTTTTTCTCGAAGTAGCAAATCAAATATCTTATCAGCCTTAGTTATGTCAAAGTCATACCTCTCCTCTTTTCCTGAGTTCTTCACCCATTGGCACGGTATAACCTTTTTGCTCCTAACCCACTCGGTTGTAGCTATTTCGGAATCATCATCCTCATCATCCGACCCATACATATAAGGACAGACATGATTAATTTTCCTAGAGTTCTTCCTAGCTTCCGCGAACCTTTGTTTATGCAAAGGTACCTTCTATGTAAGGTGCGACAAGCTTTCGAAATCTTCAGATGAGAATTTTTCCCTGATCAGAGCAATCATCCCTTGAAAAGCCAAATCGGCTAACTGGGCATTAGTCAAACTCAAGCTGTAACACCTATTCCTCATTTTCCTAAACGTTTGAATATACTCATGCACTGGCTCATCATGCTTTTGCTTGATTGACGTGAGATCAGACAGTTTCATCTCGTGAATCCCACTATAGAAATAACTATGAAACTGCTTTTCTAAATCGGCCCAACTATTAATCGACCCATGCGGCAGAGAAGAAAACCAAGTAAAAGCCGACCCAGCCAATGACAACCGGAATAACCTAACCCTCAAAGCATCTACAGCCGATGCCTCACCACACTGAGCTAAAAATCGGCTAATGTGCTCATAAGTCGATGTAGTGTCTTGCCCTGAAAACTTTGAGAAATCTGGTACTTTGAACCGGTTAGGTAAAGGAACTCTTTCAAACCATTCAGGATAAGGTTGTCGGCACAAATTTCCAGTCTCTTTTGGTTTAAGCCCAAATTGCTCCCTCATTACATCGGCTATCACATCAGCCCATGGTCGTTGCTGAGGTGTTCCTTTAGGTTGTTGTGGTGTGGGCTCGAACTGGTTGTAAAACTGAGGTTGAACCGATCCTGCCTGTTGGTACTGAACTTGCGGTGATGGAGGCTGATATTGATAACTCAAATTGCCCCCCTGGTAATTGTGAAGGTTCGGCTGAATACCACGCGCCAAATGCTCAAGAATAACTTGAGGTACTACTGAACCATCTGGTTGTACATGATGAACCAGGTGTTCCGGGATAACCTGATTTGTAGTGTACTGCACAGGCTGACCACCAGGCATTGCAAACCCAGCCGACACGTTCATTGAAGCTTGCTGCTGAATCGGCTGAACGACCTGCTGTCTCAATGGTGTCTGCTGAATCGGCTGTAAAGCCGGTCGCCTTGGTGGCGTCTGCTGAACTGGTTGCACGACCTGCTGGATTGGGGATGTTTGTTGAATAGGCTGCACAACCTGTTGCCTGGGCGGTGTTTGCTGATTCGGCTGCTGCTGAGCCGAACTAATAGCATTCTGAGGAGGTAGAAACATAGATGCAACCTGGTCTTGTGTTAACTGAGTCACATTCGATCCAGGATGCTGTGATTGCTCTCTTACCAATAATTAAGGATTGATTAATTGACCTGAAGCCGATGACGGCGCTGCAGGTGCTGGAGCCGATGTTGGTACCGTCGGCTGAGCTGATGATGCAACAGGAGGAACTCCCTGAGTAAGTGGATGAACATCGATAATCAAAGTCCGATAATTTGGAAAAGTACCCCCTTGCAAATAAGCTGGGCCTGCAGCCTGATGTTCAGCTATTGAACCATCGGCTACCGATTTCATCATATTTGACAAGGTATTAGTTAATACTCCAGATTGATTGATCAAAGCATTATACACGGCATAGTCAACTCGATCTTGAAAGTTATTGAAAAAAATCTTGGAATGCATTGTCATTCTGATTAAGATTTCCCCCTTGCGGTCCCTGAGTGCCGCCACCTTGAACTCCATGTACTCCATGAAAGTAGTCACTCTGGTTCTCCTGAGTCGACCCATCTGTAATACCTTTGTCACTCGGCTGGGCTGATCCGTCTGGAACTTGTTTCTTTTCTCCCTCCTTAGAAGAACCGATCCCAGGATCCTCAGGAACCACCTTCACCTTGTACTTCTGAACAAATGTGCCCTTGCGAGTCTGCATGAATGAACTTAAAAATTGATCTCGTGCTTGTTGCATCAGTGCATCGAAGTCTTTCTTCTGTTCGGAAGTGAGCTTCTCTGGATCAATGGGCACAACGTTTCCTTCATGGACGTCGGTCAAACCGAGCCTCTGAGTCTTCTCCTCTGAGACAGTGGTGGTTTCTCAGCCATGAGGGAAGCTGCCTTCTGACTTCTAATCGGTCCCACTGGGCGTGCCAAAAGCGTGTTGACAGAAAACACGAGGCCTGAGAGATCTGCTTAACTCCAGTGCAGGTCCAAAACTCGCCTTAGGATGTATGAGCGTGCCAGTCAGTTTGATCCTGCCACTGACAAGAAACAAAGACAAAGAAACCGTAATTAAATCCATAAATGATAGCCGATCGACTAAATGCCGATGACGTATCATTTATCTTTGAGCCGATGTCATATGTAAATCGATCGGCAAGTGTTAAGTAAACAAATCAGAATTAAATCTACTCGATCGGCTGTAGATATCAATAATATATAATCCTTATATCGATATATACTTGAATCAAGTGATTGGGATAGATCGGTCACCTTGCCGAGACAGTATAAATCACTTAGATCGAAATATATATTAATAATGAGATTATATATATATTCATAGCATAGCCGATCAGATCGATCTAGCATGTATCGGCTAATACTCCGATACTACTTCATATTAAGATATTAAAGCAAGTAGAATATACCAAACAGAAGCCTAATATACTTAAATGCAACAAGATCTTAACATGAAGGGCAGATCTAACATGTCAATCGATCATATAGGATAAAAGCAGTTAGAACAGATAAGATCGACTGAAACTCTGATACTACCCTAATTGGCAACCAGTAGGCAGGCTAGAGATTGAAATTCTAAGCACGACTTAATAGATCAAACTCAACTGATACAGCATTAAGTATGAAAAGAAGAACAACATCTAGACAATCAAGCCGCTGGATGTTTCATAGAGTGGTGGATATCTCATATAATCTAAGCCAACGTCGTTACTTAACCTAATCGGTTGCCTTCTGGTAACAGATGTTAGCCGATTGTAGGTTAGATGACGATATTGTCAAGGATTATGCAAGATATATGATAACTTGACGGATTACATAAACAAGATTAGAGTATCATAAGGATGGAAGCACTAATCTCGAGAACACAAACCGCCATAACAAGTTTTACCTCTTGTTGAAGATCGAAACCGATGCAGCTCAACCCAAAAGCAAGAACTCGTCGAAATAAAACTAAAGTAAAAAGGGTGGCAATGCGCCGAAATTGTATTGAACGTGTGTGTTAATCATTACATAGGGCTCGGGGTCTATTTATACCCGAGAATTACAAGATATGTCCATATTGGACACGACTCTTTATCTCTAACAAACTTTAAGATACCATAAGTCTTTACGACAGACTTTTACCACATTTATCTCTAAGGAATTTACATAAAATATCCTAATTAATAGATACAATTGCCTTCCCAGGACTCTATCCATGCGTGGCAATCATCTCGAAGCATATCAAGTCGAACCCAATGTCGTGCACGGGTTGTATTGTTGGAATCGGCTGTATTACTTAAGCAGTCTAACTCAGACTTAGCCGATCCAAGTTGTAGCCGATCCGGACTCCAGCTGATTCTTACTCTGTTTCCGCAACAACCCTTATCTTCGATTCCGCTTCGATCCCATCTTCATCTCCGATACTGATATTACCAAATTTGGTCGTTAACACCGTCATAAAATGCTTATGGGCTCGTGTATTCCAGCCCAAGCCCAACCTTTGTGACGAAATTAAACGTCGTGGATGGTTGCCACGTGGCGGCCAACATGGCAGTTGACGTGGTCGTTTTGACACGTGTGCGATGACATGTCACTGAAGACGTGGCAGCTGACGTGGTTGTTTTGACACCTGTGCGATGACGTGTCACTGATGACATGGCAGCTGACATCAGTAATTTTTTTATACTGCCCGTTATTTTTTTGACGGCCTATTAATTTTTAAATAGCCCATTAATTTTTTTAACTGGCCCATTTTAAGATAGGCCCATTTCAGAACTAGGCCCATTTCAGAACTAGCCTATTTTGTCGACCAACTATCAGATCAAAGCCCACTAAACAGACCCAATAAATTTGAGCATACCAAATTCAATCCAATTTCTCATGCCATCTCAGATTCAAACCAACACAACTCGACAAACATCCAATACAACACAAAATTTACAGCACAGTTAACAGCCAAATCTAGTGACATTCCAAATACAATCACAGTAACCAAAATTTCACCGGATGTCGCATGACCAAGATCTTCCAAGTGAGCTTAGCAGCACTGCATATGCGCTAGATAAAACATCAATAACTGCCATATCATCCTAGTTTCTTCTACTGTTCAAGCAGTTAATAGATGAATAAAAAATATTCATGCAGTTACTGATGTCACGGACATGCTGCAATGTCAGGATCGGGAGGAGCTGTCTCCCTCTGCATGTTATCTCCACCTGCGCATCGCACATTTCTGAAATTTTCAGTTCATCTCAGTTCAGCATTTTGTAACAAAGAAACTAAGCATGCTCAGAGATCAGGCAAAACGATATATATATACTTTCTTCTAAAAGTTGAATTGGATGGTTTCTGAATTCTGATGAGATTAACAAACAAACCTTCAATTTGATTACAAGTCAAGAATTATGTTACTGTGAGGTGATGTGAGGTGAGGAATGCAAAAAATGCAAATTGCTTCTGGTGGAGAGTTAGACAGTGATAGATGTGAAGGACTTTCTCCTTTTCGGCAACAACAAACAACATATATTGCAGATCTTCAGAGCAGTACACTGCTGCTGTGGCTGTGTCTAAATGCCACCTATAAAGTTATACTAGAACTTTAGGCGCGCTTCGCGGCGCCCTACCGTTTGTTATTGGTAAATAGTATCACAAGTCAAAACATGTACTTATATTGGTAAGTGTTGAGTTCGTAAGAACCTTCATTCTAGCACAAGCTGTTACATAACTTGAATTCCGATGTTACATGATGATCTGAAATTGACACTTAATACTGCAAGATAAAAAATCACCTAATAAGTTTAGAAACCACAACAATTTATCATACCCAAAAGAGCAATAAAAGTTATAATAATGTATTAAAAAATGGTTTAATCATTCATCCTCTTCCAAAAGAGGCTAATTCAGTTCCATTACAGGGCATGAATCACAAGTTGTAATGGGAAGTACTATGTTTGCAATCACTTAAGAAAATAAATATTCTTCAATCGTACAGGGGGGACTCTTAGAATTTGTATGCACTAGGTTTCTGATTTTCGTTGCTTGCAAAATTAAGTTGCTCACAATCCTGGAAGCTGAGTAGACATTTACTGGTGTGTGTGCACGCCCGTTCAATGTGACATGGAGATTATTACAGACAGCACACTGTGGATATGGTAAATCCCTTTTTACCCCTTTTCACTGTGGAAATAATGGTTTTCACGCATGAGGGAGAGGCACCCTCAAATTTCCTTACTAAAGTAACAGTTACAGGTGTAAAAAACAACCCTATTTCCTGTCCTGCTACCAAATAAATAGCCCAGTTCTTTCGTGAACTCTGAAAAGACACTGAAATGCTTTTGCACTTGCACAGTGGAAAAATTGGTAAACAAAACGAACTGCCAGCCCTGGTTTCTTCCTGTTATCCCTTAATTTAAAAGGAAAAGACTGACATCATGCTCACAAATTTCCAAAGATTGGGTATAAACTGAGACATCTTAAACTGCAATGCAACTGCTTAGCATAGTATAACATGAGAAAGCACAGCCACAAGTTTGCTAGATAGGCAAAAAAACCACTTCACATGTTAGGAAGAAACATGCCCCTACAGTTTTGACATTCCTGAGCACCACATATGGTGGCAACCAATCCTTTTTACATGAATAAGATAAAAGGAGTCATCAGATTTGACATTCATAATAGGATTTCACTTATTACTTTCTAAAAAAAGGTGACCATGGGACTCACAGGAACTCACCAAAAGTGACCATGGGAAGGATGAAAGTTGAAGCAAACTCAGCAATTCGCACAGGAAAAACAGCCTCATTTCAATTTGGAGCACATACAAAACCTCTACACAACACAACAATACATCTCTAGTTACATCTGTAGCCCATCTACCGCAGCAAGAACAGCAACAATCACGAGGGGGAAGGAAGATTAGGGAAGCGAGTAGGGTGAATATACCTTGATGCAGATGTTCTCTGTTGACTGATAGTTTGCTATTACTGTTTGTTAAAAGGAAAAGGAAAGATGGCTAGTCCTGTTTTTGTAGAATATTTTTGCAGCATGCACATGTTTAATTGCTAATTACAAATTGCAGTACATAAAAAAGTGGTAATTTTTTATTTCAGGTGGATATGATCCAGATATATATGGACTATTGGAGATTAGTACTTTTGATTTCATCTTACTGTTAACATTTATATATTTCATATTTTCTGAAAGTACGTTGAAGTAGAGTTTACCATTCGATATATAGGAATTGTGAAAACTGCTCAAGTGATGGATAAATAAAACACTACATAATGCAAGTCTCTTGTTCAAAAGATCATGTCTTACAGCTATATGATATTATATTGGTTTCTCATTCTGCTTGCAGGTCAGATGATAATTCATTGAGGTTGATTGCCATAGATTGATAATTCTACAGGTTAGGAGTAGTACTTATAACGTATAGATGCAATTCAGTTTCAACAGTCATGAAGTGTTGATGAATTATGAAGAGCTCAAGCAATACATCTCTAGTTGCATCTGTAGCCCATCTACCGCAGCAAGAACAGCAACAATCACGAGGGGGAAGGAAGATTAGGAAAGCGAGTAGGGTGGATTGGGGGAAGGAAGATTAGGGAAGCGAGTGGGGTGGATATACCTTGATGTACATGTTCTTGGCAGCCTTCTCCTCCTCGCCGAGCACCTTGCCGCCGGAGGAGAGGAGCCGCCGCGGTGCGAGCCACGCCGCCAGCCTCGCCTGAACTCCCTCGCATTGACTCCCTTGCCTGAACCCCCTCGCATTGACTCCCTCCCGCTGTCGTACCAGGTCGCCGCCACCTCCACCGACCCCATCCACGCCGGCCTGCCTCCGCGGCTTCCGCCACCGCCTCGCTGCCGGCCTGGCCGACGGGCCCTCCGCCTCTGGCGCGCCGCTGTCCTTCGCCTCTGCGACGGCGCCGCCAGATCCGCCGGAGCAGGCTGTTGCCGTGCTCGCCGCCGAGAGCCGAGCTCCTTCCTAGGGCGGCGGATCCGGCTAGGGTTTGGATATATGTAAAAGAAGCTATTTTGATGCGATTTTACCAGAATAACCCTGGTATCTGGAAACCTATTATACAAGTTACTTGGACAAAATGGTCATTTAACCTGGAAATTTCAAAATTTTGAAACTTCGAATCGAATTTTATCATACTAAATGAACTTATGTGAAAAGGTTGTTAAAAACAAAGTTGTATAACTTATTGAGATCTACCAATTTTATTTTGGTTATTTCTCCATCTGAGTTTCATTGGCCTATATAAAATTTGAATTTCAAATTATGACAACATTAAACAATATTTTTTCAAAAACTAAATGATTTCAACTAAAAAAGTCATCAATAACAAAGTTATATAACTCATCAATATCTATAACTTTTATTTTAATCATTTCTTCATCCGACGAAGTGATTTGTAACATTATTCTCAAAATCTACATATCTCCCTTATTGTTTATAAACGTACCAGAGATTACATTTTGTGAATAATGTTACAAATCACTTCGTCAAATGAAGAAATGACCCAAATAAAAGTTATATATCTTGATGAGTTATACAACATTATTGTTGATGACTTTTTCAGTTGAAATCATCTAGTACTTGTAAATGATGTTTGAAGCTGTCATAATTTGAAATTTAAATTCAAACTGTCTAAACAAAGTCGTATAGAAAAATAGCCAAAACAAAAGTTATAGATATTGATGAGTAATACAACTTTGTTGTTGATGACTTTTTCAATTGAAATCATCTAGTACTTGTAAATATTGTTTGAAGCTGTCATAATTTGAAATTCAAATTCAAACTGTTTAAACAAAGTCATATAGAAAAATGGCCAAAAAAAAGTTGTATATATTGGTGAGTTATACAACTTTGTTTTTGATGACCTTTTCAGTTAAAATCATTTATTATTTAAAAATGTTATTTGAAGTTGTCATAATTTAAAATTCAAATTGTATATGGGTCAATCAAACTCAGATGGAGAAATAACCAAAATAAAATATGAAGATCTCAATAAGTTATACAACTTTGTTTTTGACAACTTTTTTTACATAAGCTCATTTAGTATGATAAAATTCGATTGGAAGGTTTAATATTTTGAAATTAATTGAAGGAGGGACGCAAAATAGACTTCTTGGCTTCGGAGGAGCAAAAGGCCTGTTACTGGCCAGCCCTTTTGCTCATCCCTTGCCGAGAAGTCCATTTTAACTCCCTCCTTTCATTTAAATTCAAAATATTAAACCTTCGAAATTTTAGCATACTAAATGAACATATGTGAAAAAGTTGTCAAAAATAAAGTTGTATAACTTATTGAGATCTACCAATTTTATTTTGGCTATTTCTCCATCTGAGTTTAATTGACCTATATAAAATTTGAATTTCAAATTATGACAAATTTCAAACAACATTTTCAAATACTAAATAATTTCAACTGAAAAAGTCATCAACAACAAAGTTGTATAAATAATAAATATATACAACTTTTGTTTTGGTCATTTTGCTATATGACTCTGTTTCAATAATTTGAATTTGAATATCAAATTATGACAACTTCAAACAATATTTACAAATACTAAATGATTTCAACTGAAAATTTCATCAACATCAAAGTTGTATAAATCATCAAGATCTATAACTTTTATTTAGGTCATTTCTTCATCCGACAAAACGATTTATAACATTGTTCACAAAATGTACATATCTCTTATATAGTTTATAAACTATAAGATAGATATGCTAATTTTATGAACAATGTTACTATCCCTTTACCGAATGAAGAAATAACCAAAATAAAAGTTATAGATATTGATGAGTTATACAAATTTGATGTTGATGACTTTTTCAGTTGAAATCATTTAGTATTTGAAAATGTTGTTTGAAGTTGTCATAATTTGAAATTCAAATTCAAACTGTTTAAACAAAGTCATATAGAAAAATGGCCAAAACAAAAGTTGTAGATATTGATGTGTTATACAACTTTGTTGTTGATGACCTTTTCAGTTGAAATCATTTAGTATTTGAAAATGTTATTTGAAGTTGTCATAATTTGAAATTTAAATTTTATATAGGTCAATCAAACTCATATGGAGAAATAACCAAAATAAAATAGGTTGATCTCAATAAGTTATACAACTTTGTTTTTGACAACTTTTCCACATAAGTTCATTTAGTATGATAAAATTCGATTCAAAGGTTTAATATTTTAAAATTAATGGAAAGGAGGGAGGCCAAATGGACTTCTTGGCTTCGGAGGAGCAAAATGGGCTGGCCCATAACAGGCCTTGTTTCATTCCTTCTCTGTTTAACCTTTTTTTTCTTCTTTTATTATACCATTGTGAAGTACCACACAAAAGTCATAATAAATGAACTCGTATGAAAAAGTTTTAAAAAACAAAGTTGTAGAACTCATTTAGATCTATCATTTTTCTTTTGGTCATTTCTCCATTTGAGTTTGATTGTACTATATAAAATTTGAATTTCAAATTATGACAAATTCAAATAACATTTTTAAATACTAAATGATTTCAACTGAAAAAGTCATCAACAACAAAGTTATATAAATCATTAACATCTACAACTTTTGTTTTGGTCATTTTGCTATATGACTCTGTTTCAATAATTTGAATTTGAATTTAAAATTATAACAATTTCAAATAACATTTACAAGTACTAAATGATTTCAACTGAAAAAGTCATCAACAACAAAGTTGTATAAATCATCAATATCTACAACTTTTGTTTTGGTCATTTTGGTATATGACTCTGTTTCAATAATTTGAATTTGAATTTCAAATTATGACAACTGCAAACAACATTTTCAAATACTAAATTATTTCACCTGAAAAAGTCATCAACATCAAAGTTGTATAACTCATCAATATCTATAACTTTTATTTTGGTCATTTCTTCATCCGATAAAGTGATAGTAACATTGTTCACAAAATTTGCATATCTCTTATATGGTTTTCAAGTATTTAAATCGCGACAAAATTGCTATAACGCCATAGGTTTTGGGCTGGTTTATCACGAAATTGATAAACTGTCATGGATTATGGGCCTTGTATCCATAGTTACATATCCGTGATGATCTCTGAAAACATCACGGAAATTTCGTCACAGATTAAATAGATTCTTGTAGTGCTTAAGCACTGTAGGAAGGTTGTTTATATGGGTCATCGTCGATTCCTTGCTGCAAACCACCCTGTACGGAAGAAAGGTAAGCACTTTGAATATAAGGCGGACCACCGTACGAAGCCTAAACATTGCAGCAGGAAAACAATGTTTGCTATGGTGAAAGATCTTAAAGTAGTGTTTGGAAAGGGGCCTGGCAGCCAGCCTATAGAGAGCGAAGATGGTCACGCGGCGATGTGGAAAAAAAACTCTATATTTTGGGAGTTACCCTATTGGGAATTCTTGGACGTCCGCCACACAATCGACGTGATGCACCTCACTAAAAACCTTTGTGTAAACCTACTTGGCTTCCTAGGTGTATATGGAAAGTCAAAAGAGACACTGGAAGCATGTAATGAACTGAAGCATATGGAACAACACAGCGACCTTTGTCCGGGCAACAATAACAAAGCTATGTGCTTTAATGAACGCAATTTCGCAGAAGGTCATCGATCCGGATAGATTAGAAGCCCTTCAAAATGATGTGGTGCAATGTCTTGTCAGTTTTGAGTTGATATTTTCACCTTCATTTTTCAATATAATGATGCATCTGCTTTGTCACCTTGTCAAAGAGATCAATATTCTCGGGCCTATGTACCTACACAACATGTTTCCTTTCGAGAGGTACATGGGCGTTCTGAAGAAGTATGTTCGTAACTGTGCTCGTCCAGAGGCAAGCATCGCCAAGGGGTATGGAACAGAGGAGGTCATTGAATTATGCGTAGAATTTATTGAAGACCTTCGCCCAATCGGGGTACCTGAATCACGCCATGAAGGGAGACTACGGGGAAAGGGGACTCTCGGAAGGAAAGCAATAATGACGGTAGACAATAATTTATTCCGTAAAGCCCATTTCACGGTTCTGCAACAATCTTCATTGGTGGCTCCTTACATCGAGGAGCACTTGGCTCTAGTTCGCGCCAGAAACATCAGTAAGTCCGATGCATGGATTACATGGCATCACATTGATACTTTCCCCTCGTGGCTGCGACGACATCTAATGGGTAACGAGACGATTAACTAACAACTGGCCTTCCTGGCGAGGGGACCATCTGGCTTGATCGCGATATTCCAGGGATATGAGATCAATGGGTACACATTCTACACGAGAGCCCAAAACATGAAGAGCACGAACCAGAACAGTGTTGTTCGTATCGATGCCATGGGACACGATGGTACAACTAGCACGTATTATGGTGCCATCGAGGACATATGGGAACTTGACTATGAACCACTCAAGGTCCCTCTGTTCCGGTGCCAATGGGTTAGGTTGACTGGTGGAGGCGTATGCATATGCAAAGGGGTTCATACAAGTATACACTAGAAGTTCAACCGATATGATCTTTATGTATGCCCGGTGGGTCAATATGTTCTGCTAGGGGCCGCTGTTGACGCATGGACCAAAAAGGAGTTTTCGGGTTACAGCCGAGTGTACATGAACCTACAGGGTCGCACGCTTAATGGACCGAAATAAGGGGGTTGGATGGAGATCCAATATGAGCTTAATTCGGATAGGGATCCGAATAGGAGTCCTACGGGCCTTTAAGGCCCGAGTGATGGATCCTATATATTCGTGAGGGGTGTGACCGGCGGAGGTATTGCATCACGTGAGAAACCCTAGCCGTCACTCCCCTCCCCGAGAAAAACCCTAGCCGCGCGCGGGTGCTAGCACATCTGCGCGTGGCGTTCCGTCCCTATACGAGTGGATATCGGTAGAGGCGCTACTGGTTTGCGGTGCTGATCGGTGTGGGAATACGACGAGGAGAACGCACGAGGAGGAGAAGGTCGAGCCGGTGCGATCAACTACTTCCTCTACATCGACGCGTGCTACTTCGCGAGAATTCCTTCGACTTCTTAGCGCCTTCTTCCGCTGCGCAGCGTG